GGTTGCAACTTTTCCAAATAGTTGTAACCTTTCCGATAAGGCACAATAAACATTTGTTCACACTACCCTTTGTTGTTTATAAATAGATAGATTCTTCTCATTTTAAAGCAACGAAAATTCTGAACCTCTTCTTCTTCTTTTTCGTTTTCACAATTAAATATTTGTGTACTTTGCTCATGTTGTGTGGCTCACTGACACCATTGCTTATGTTACAGACCCTAGTATGTATTTTTACAGTCATTAATTTATGCTTATGTTATTAAAGATAAATGATAAGATGTAAATTTTAATTTTCCTTTACATTATTAATGTTTGTTACTACGTAATCTTGTATGTAAGATAATATCGTGTTTAGTTTTAATGACTGATAGGTTTTAAGTATTATTTTATAAATTCTATGATAATAAATTCTCGCGCAAAGCGTGGGTAATTTTACTAGTTTTAAGATAATGAACTTGTTTAGTCAATAGTTAAAAATTAAAACTTGGGTGACATACGTTCAGAATATTGACAATGAACTTTTTAAAAATAAGGTTATTTAAAAATAAATAAATTATTACGGACAAATATTCAATTGAGATCCAATTAAAAAGAGAATTGCTCCCAAAATCCAAAATCACAAATTGAGGGGAAAAGATGATCGGAGAAGTGGAGAAGATGATAACAGTAGGCCTTGTTTGGGGAGCAACAAATGCCCTAATGCGAAAAGGGGCAATCAAATGGGACGAAACCATCAAATCTTTACCTCAACCAAACACACCCCAACACCCAGTCCTCACAACTCTACAAAATTGGCTCAAACTTCTGTTGATTTGGCAATATTCATTGCCATTTCTTCTAAATCTGTCTGCATCAGCTACTTTCTTTGCAATTCTAAGTGATACACCAATTTCTTTAGCTGTTCCTGTTACGAATGCCACAACTTTTGCTGCTACTGCTGTTTTTGGATTGATTCTTGGTGAAGAAACTCGTGTTGGTCTTGCTCTTTTTGGTACTTCTCTTATTGTTCTTGGTGTTTACATTTGTATTATGTAATCTTTTCAAATAAAGCTGGATCTGGATCTGATAGACAGGGAAGGATCTACAACTTTGGGTACGTGTGTTTTCGAAAATTCAGTAACTTTTGTGTAGATTCAGTATTTATTTAGAAATGTGTGTTGGAAATCATAATAACAAAGCAATAGATGTTGAACCTCTTTCGACTTCACCAAAGATTGATGTAATTCTGGCTCCACCACCAAAGATGTAAATATGAAACATTTCAATTTAAATGCATAACATCAGAATTCTTCAAATCAGGTGGAACTATCTTTTTGCATATGAGGAGTTATAAATCTAGAGGCAATGTAGGAAGACACATCAGACACTAATGATTGATACACATGAAATAACGCATAATTTAAGTGATTACATGAAAAACAAGACGATGAGCAGAAGATATTCTAGTTGCTGCAAGTACAAAAAACTGTGGGAGCCAGGGAGAACATGTATGGATAATCCTTAAAAGATGTTTATCATATTAATCGCGTTACAAATCTGGTAAACATTTTTTCGATCAGCTAGCAGGTATATAACTAACTAATCTAATCACCATCATGTTCTAGTTAATGCCAGATGAATTTGGTTTTGAAGCAACATTTCACATCCTATCAGTAAATGTGAATTGTGTACTTCAGAACTGTGAGAGGAGCTCAAGTTTACGAGCTTGGAAGAATTTGCAACGGCCTTTCCCATTTGACTCAATATCTTCACTTTTCCTTTTTACACCAATGAAACCAATATTAGTTAGCTTCACTTGCCGCTTACTAGCTCTTCCGTTGGGTTCATCTTCGTCATTAGCATCAGATTCCCTATGGAAATAACATGAAAAAGATCCAGATTAAACATTGATAGCAATATGATTTGATGTTTTGAACTTGCTTCCGGAAAAAAATTTATTAAGCTCTCACTCATTTCCATTTTCCAACTCTCTATTAAAACACGCCACACAAAAGGATTTGAGGTGAAAGTAAAACAACGAGATTTTGAGTACAAGGATCCAGCAGAATTTAGTAGAGTCAAATGTTTTATGGAGGTTAGTAATGGACTCACCATACTACTTCGACATTATCCTTGGAGTATGCATTACATGTTCCCCAGCTGAAACGGACCAAGGTTGGGAACCCAAAAACTGCATGTTTGTGATTATCCAGCCAAGCTTTTGTCTCAGGATCTACAGACAAAAATGGATGTCAAATTGCCCCTTCCATTTTGAGTAAGATGTTAGAATCTAGCAACATATAATCCCGATTTTAACTGAATGGAAGTTAAACACTACCTCCAGGATATCCAGATCCAAAGTTCCTTTGCATGTTCTCAGCAGTTTCATCAAGCACCCAATCCCGCAAGGCTCGGTCCCTAGTAACCTGAAAGATGGTTATAAATGACATTAAGAATAATGAATTCAGATTCTAATTTTACAAGGGAGATAAATAGAGCGAGACAAAGTGGCAGATGCCAAGTCACCTTTGCAACAATACTGGCTCCACTTACGACGGGGTAAAGACTGTCAGCTTTTTTTGCAACAACAAATTTGATTGCTGGAAATATTTCAGATAGCTTCACACTGTACTTTTCAGGATCACCAACAGTATCCACATAGACCTGAAAGGGATTCATTAATGCATTGCTTCTGAAAATGTCTAAAATAACTAGTGGAATAAATTATATAATTGATCTGTACTCCCTTCGTCCCAATTTAATTGATCTGTACTCCCTTCGTCCCAATTTAATTGATCTGTACTCCCTTCGTCCCAATTTAATTGATCTGTACTCCCTTCGTCCCAATTTAATTGATCTGTACTCCCTTCGTCCCAATTTAATTGATCTGTACTCCCTTCGTCCCAATTTAATTGATCTGTACTCCCTTCGTCCCAATTTAATTGATCTGTACTCCCTTCGTCCCAATTTAATTGATCTGTACTCCCTTCGTCCCAATTTAATTGATCTGTACTCCCTTCGTCCCAATTTAATTGATCTGTACTCCCTTCGTCCCAATTTAAGTGTCTTACTTTCCTTTTTGTTTTGTCCCAAAAAGAGTGGCTTCTTTCTATACTTAATAAGTTTTCCAATTCCAACAATCTACATGACAAGTTTAAGACTACAAGATTGAAAAACTAAACACATCTTTTATTTAAGATCACAAGATTCAATGGTCTCATTTCGTTTCTTAAACTCCATGCCAGTCAAACTAAGACACTTGAATTGGGACGGACGGAGTGAATGCTATCAGTTTCAGTATTTGAAAAGCCATCAAGTCTACTCTTTTCCTATTTGCTTTTTATGAAGTACACAGCCATTCAGGAATATGGGCAACGTATACCATATAGTATACTAACAAGACTAAAGGTATGAAATGTGATAACCAAAATCAAAGTAGTGGTCTGTGGCAGAGAGAACACGAGAAGCACATACCTATAGAGGAGAATGTTGAGTTCTGAATAGTATATTTAGAAAATGAGGTCTGACAAGTATATGTGGACAAAAGATATAGGACTCTAGGTTAAGCTTGGAGCTGCTGAGAACTAGGTAAGCTGCAAAAACTTTGGTCTGGTCTTAAATTTGACCCAAAAGAGTTCCATAGCGGCAGTATGTTATGAACATCAGAGCCTCACCTATCAGGTACAGAAAACTGACTAAAGGTTGAATTTCAGAAGTTGGTATGTTTGTTTGTCAATTAAGAAAAAGATAGCTTGTAGATATCTGGAGGCAGATTATGTCATAAATAGTCTGGTTAGAATAACTTCACCAATGTGAGCTATGCATAGTATAGTCGGTCTCAAACCCAGATAATGAACACACAAAAATAGTCCAATTATGATGAATCCTCTAAATGGGCTATGCAGGATTCCCATAGCTGAACTCAACTACTTTGGGGTTGTTCATCTAGCTGATTGATTGATATTTTGGTTAAAATAGCAAGGATAATTGAAGTATAGTTCCTGTAGCTGATTTATTTTAGTGATTCTTCTCTTAATAGTCACAGGAAGGGGTCTATCCTGTGAGACAAGAGAAAGCTTGATGTATGCCAACTAGAGAAAAAGGAACAGGAACCAGAAATCAGATTTACTCATTCTTCCTCCTTATTTTGTTACCCCACTGGTGGAGTGGTAGTAGATGCATACACATTTTCGGTAAAAACAGGGAGAAACTAAGTTAAACATACACCTATTAAAGGATCTGATATTAAGTTTCCCCTTTTGCCAAAAGAAAACATAAGCCATTGCAGAATTATATCAAAGTCAACCATCTCTAGAATAATCAAATCTACATAATTTTGCGCTGATACCAAGTTTGTCACGATCCAAAACGAGTCATGAGTGGCACCCACACTTAACCTTTTAGGCGGGTGATCCAACGAATGCAAACCCCAACTTATTTTTAGTTTTTCAACTTATGCACTACGACAATAATGCAGAAACTCAAATCTTATTAAAGTAAGAAATAAAAATCCTTTACAGTCTATTACATATCGTTTCCCAAAACCTGAAAGTCATCACATCAAAGACATCTAATCCCCAAATACTAAGTATGAGAGTATCAAAGAAACGATAATAAATGAATAAAATAGTTTGTGTCCGAAAACTAGGACATCATGCCATGACTGAGAGAATCCAACAAGAGCTAGAAGGAATAGCTCACTCTGGAATTTGATGTGCTGAAGACTGGCTAAAGCTGAGGGCAAGTCGAAGGTACACTCCACAAAAGTCACAAGGCAAGACCTATACACCTTCTCAACTAGCACAGACTCACCAATAGGAGTAGCAACACGAATAGGCATGTCAAGTAAGTCACAATGCAAATCAAGTCCATTAGCTAACGAGGAAGATACATAAGAAAAAACGTATCAAGGATCAAACAATAAGGAAGCCATGCGATTGCAGACCAGAAGAGTACCTGTGATAACAGCATCGGATGCCTTTGCCCTCCTGGAGAAAGCATAACAATGGGATCTATCGCTTGTCTGAACATTGCCATTGCCGGGCTGCGCTCTAGTAGTTACAACCCGGCGACCACTACGTCCTCCAGAATGACAATCTCTACCATAACCATCCCTGTCTCTAAATGTTGGGGCTCTGTAACCCTGATCATATCAAGCCTGACTCTGCCTCAAACAATATTTCCTGATATGCCCAACCTCACCACATCCATAACAAGGTTTGGAGTCGAGAGTAGGTGTCTTTGAAGACTGAAGACAACTACCAAACTCAGAAAAAAAGGTTGATTGGTATGTGACGGACCCTCAGCGAAAACCTGCAATGAAGATTGAATATGACGGGATGTTGTCACCTTGGTGAAGTCATTTGGCTTCACCCCCTCTACCAAACTCGCCCCCCTTACGAAACTTCTTGAATGTTATCACCTTGGTGAAGTCATTTGGCTTCACCCCTTCTACCTCTATCACAAAATCAACAACTTCCTAAAGAGATTTTGCAGAAGCAGCCACTTGTAAAGCTGGAATCCACAAATCTGACCTCAATCCCTTCATAAAGCGGTGAATCCGCTCTTGCTGACTGAAGCAAAGTTGATTAGCATAGCTGGATAAAGCACGAAATTTGGCCTCATACGCCGCAACAGAAATCTTTCCTTGCTCTATATTCAGGAGCTCATCTCTCCTCAAAGTCTGGGGTATATACTTCTCCATGAAGAAGCTAGAGAATGTTGCCCAAGTCATAGGTAATGCCTTTGCGCACTGAGCATGAGACCGCCATCACATTTTGGCATCTCCCCGTAACTGGTATGTCACAAACTCAACACCAAATCACTCCACTATATCCATTTTATGAAGCAACTCCTAAAAATCAACAAGGAAATCATAAGTATCTTTAGATTCAGTACCTTTGAAGACTGAATGTTTCAACTTTAAGAACTTAATAAAGAGATCATGTTGGTCACTAGTCATTATTGGCCCTGGAGTCAATTGGAAAACGTGCTTGTTTCTAAGGACGCATCCATGCAGGGATTCCAGCATCTTCTGCACCAACACCTCAGGTTCAGGGAGTACAACATGCAACTGTTGTGGCTCCCCGCATGGATACGTCCTTGGAAACAAAAACGTTTCCACAATTGACTACAGGGCCAATAATGACTAGTGACCAACATGATCTCTTTATTAAGTTCTTAAAGTTGAAACCTCCAGTCTTCAAGGGTATTAAATCTGAAGATGCTTATGATTTCATTGTTGATTGTCATGAGTTGCTTCATAAAATGGATATAGTGGAGCAATTTGGTGTTGAGTTTGTGATAT